TGGCCTGCAAGATCGCTCAAGGTAGCCCAAGATTGCACAGGATGGCTTCCAAGATGGTCCAAGATACCCCCAAGACAGCCCCGATACGGTTTCAGGTGCCCTCCGAGCCTTCCAAGGAGCCCCACGAGGCCGAGATTTCTTCGAATGCCGAGGCAAAACCGTAAGTGCTTACCTTCTCGCCGTTTCGCTTCCGATGCGCCTCTGGGCCTCAAGATAGCCCCAAGATGGGCCAGGAGAGCCCCAAGCAGAGCCCAAGAGAGCCCCGAGACGGCCCCAAGAGCGCCCTTGAAGCTCCCAAGAGCGCCCCAAAAGGGGCACCAAATGCGATGTCTCCAGCCTCCGAGGGGGGATGCCGCAAATTTCGGCCGCCCCCCTTTTGCCGATGGCCTCCAAGATGGCCCCAAGAGCCCCTTCAGGGCCACACAAGGGGGCCCGAGAGAGCCCCGAGGGAGCCCCCGAGTGAGCCCCAAGTGAGCCCCAAGGCTCAAGGGAGCCCCAAGAGAGCCCACAGGGCCTCCGAATGGTCCCAAGATGCAGATGGCTCCAAGAAGCCCCCGAAGCCTCGACCTCCACAATTGCTGGCATCCTGGCGGCATGCTTACCGACGCCCCCCCTCCAGGCAGCTCTCAGGGGCAGCGTTTCTGGACGGGCTCGTGGGGGTACTTTTTTTTGGTCGCGGCCGCGAGCGAAGAGCGCAGGCGGCGAACAGGGTGTCCGGGCCGACGGGCAAGCCTAATTAGTTACACGCCTCGTGGGGATACGCAAAATGCCAAGAGTGGGCCCCTGGCACGGGCGGGCAACGACGACGAGAGGGGAACCGACGGGGCGAGCGAGGCAGCGGCCTCCCCTCCCTCCCCTCCGTGCTTCCGCTCGTTCCGAATCGTGCTCCCGCTGCAGCGCTGGCCTCATTTCCGCGCTTCCGCTCGTTTCGACTCGTGCTCCCGCTGCAGCGCTGGCGTCGTTTCCCGTGCCATGCCACGGCATGCAATGCAATGCTAGGTTGATACTACGCTTCGCGGTGCTCTTCTACGCCATGCCATGCCGTGCTCTACAATGCATCGCGTACCCTTTCGGGATCATCGCCCTGCTTGACATCCGACTGTGCGAGTAGAGAGGGGATCTGCGCCATGGTAAGGGATGGGAGGGAGGGGTAGGATGTCAGATATGACGCAAGCGCACCTAGCTTGCCTCCCTCCCCTCCCTCCCCTCCCTCCCCTCCCTACCCTCCCTAAAGTCGGGGGCTACCTCCTCGGATACGGCTGAGCCCCAGCCAGTGGCCACTAAGCCCGAATTGGGCAAGGATTCGGCCAGATTGCACGGGGCTCGACGGGAATACCGGGGTTGGGGCATACTTAGAACTTGGAACAAGGGTGTACCAGGGCCGACTAAGCTGAACCTCCCAGGAGATGTAACCGAGAGAGGTGGGTCTGAGAGAACCCTGCACACACCGTTTGCTGCCCTTCCCGTCTAAAGTTCAGTCCGAATTCGACAACACGGTGATCCTTGTCACTGCGGCGACCCGCACGATAGGGACCACAATAATACGATCGCACGGTCAGAACCGACCGTACACCGATACAACACACAACATGTGTGAGAAGCAACTGCTCCCCATCAACGCAAGTGGTACCACCCAGCAGCAACTTGCAAACTGTGTTCGACACCAGTGCAAGAAAAACATCTGAAAAAGAGACACCCTCCGTCCATGTAGCTGCTAGGAGGTTCAAGCCTTGGGATCTAAGATGCAAGGGGGGCTCAAGCCAGACGCACACTCTGAAGACGGCTCGCTCTCCGTCATGCTGAACACGTTGCAGGCAGACGTGCCATGCGCCAGGGCGAGAATCACATCTTGAAGACGGCCAACTCTTCATCCGTGTAAACGCTTGAACTTTCGCGACGAATGCGCGCGGCGCCCCGCCCTTCTCATCTTCCTTCTCCTCCGCTTCTTCTCTTTCCGCGTCCCCGTTCCCAATCGCCGCGTCTCCACTATTCCCCGCTTTCCCCCCGCCCCTTTCCTCTACTCGGCCGCAGGTGGCAAAGAGTGAACAGAATGCGGAGGACGACGAGGACGACGACGACGACGACGACGACGACCGCGACGACGACCACGGACGACGACGACAACAACGACGACGACGACGACAACGGCGACGAGGACGAGGACAACGACAACGACGACGACGACGACGACGACGACGACGAGGACGACGACGACGACGACGACGACGGCGGCGGCGGCGGCGGACGACGGACGACGACCCAAATCTGTTCCAAACCTGTCCCAGGAGCTCTCACGGGATCCATCATGACCAATGTTTCGAACTGCGTCCAGCCGTGCTGACGAGAAAATCCAGAAACCCTCACGAAGTCAGCGTCGCCAACATTAAGAGCAGCAGCAGCAGCAGCAACAACAAAAGCAATACAACCGATAACGGTAACAACAACAGCAACACCAACAACAACACAAACAACAACAACAACAACAACAACAACAACAACAACAACAACAACAACAATCATTTTACCCGAACGCGTGGTGTTCTCCCCAGTGCCAGGGTTTTCATACGACACCAGGCAATACCCCCACTTCGTGGGGGGGCATTACAAGCTCTACCAAATATCCAAACGACTCTTCGCGACCACCCAAACCCAGCTTCCCGCCCTATGACGTTGGGACACTTCACTTCGTGGCGTGCGGACGACCGTGGCTACTACACTGGCGTGGGGTACACACCCACAGAACCGCAAGGGATTCTGGCCCCTGGCAGGCGCGCGAACCCCGTTGCAAGAGCGTGCGAAAGTAGCTCGCGCGAGCTCATGTAACATAAATGTTGGAAAACCATTGGTTTGTGTAGGATTCGGACAGCGCGCGCGGGTGGAAATTTTGCAAAGTCGTGCAGCTGTTTTTCGAGGACCTACGGTGCGATTCGTGTGATTTTATGATGCGCGGTGGTAAAATTCTTAAGAACCCAATGGTTTTTGGAGATTTCGGCGTGCGCGCGCGAAGAAAAAACGAATCTGTCCCGCATGGTATTATTTGACAGGGATGATGGCCCTGGCAGGTGCGCAACCGTTGTCGCAGAAGTTCGAAAAAGTTGCTCGCAAAAGCCCGTTTGACAGAAATGTTTAAAAAGTGTTGGGTTTCCTACGAATCCGCAAGAGCGCGCGGGATGAGAGTTTGACATTTTTTTGTTGAAAAACCATTGGTTTTTTGATGTTTTTATGTTGAAATCGCTCCGAACACTAAGCTTTTGGAAGGATTTCGTCTTGCGCGCGCGAATGTCCACTTTACCTTATTTTTTGCAAGGGATTCTTGAAATTTGATTATATTAGAACAAGAAATGTCATTTTATAGTGTTTTTTTTTGCAAGGGAAAACGGATTACAACAAAACAACCGGATCTTGATCACCTCGAATTACCTGAGGCTTCCTCACGAAAATGATGAAAACGTGGCTGCGGCCTAGGCGCGGCGGGGGGGCGCGCACCAGGGGGCCCAACAATAATTATTCTTTAGAATTAATAATGTTCAACAAACAACAACAACAACAACAACAACAACAACAACAACAACAACAACAACAACAACAACAACAATTACGCGTCAGTGTTCTCACCAGTGCCAGGGTTTTCATGCGACGCCAGCCAATACCCCCACTTTGTGGGGGGGCCGGTTCAAGCTCTACCAAATTTCCAAACGACTCTTCGCCACCACCCACACCCAGCTTCCCGCCCTATGACGTTCGGACACTTCACTTCGTGGCCTGCGGACGACCGTGGCTACTACACTGGCGTGGAGTACACACCCACAGAAGTTGTTAAGCCTACGTTCGTACACCCACAGAAGTTTGTTAAGCCTTGTTAACCCACAGAAGTTGTTAAGCCTTCACAGAACATCTGTTGCATATGATGCATATGGTACATGATACACATGATACACATGATACGTACTCACAAGATAGTTGATCACATCTTTAGGGCAAATTCCTGAGTGATGTGGGAATACACAAGAGAGAGAGGATATGGTTGTCCCGATGGTTGTCCCTATATGGTTTCCCTACGCCGCGGGTGGAAATTTTGAAAAGTCGTGCAGGTGTTTTTCGAGGACCTACGGTGCGATTCGTGTGATTTTATGATGCGCGGTGCTAAAATTCTTAAGAAGCCCAATGGTTTTTGGAGATTTCGGCGTGCGCGCGCGAAGAAAAAACGAATGTGTCCCGCATGGTATTATTTGACAGGGATGATGGCCCTGGCAGGTGCGCAACCGTTGTCGCAGAAGTTCGAAAAAGTTGCTCGCAAAAGCCCGTTTGACAGAAATGTTTTAAAAAGTGTTGGGTTTCCTACGAATCCGCAAGAGCGCGCGGGATGAGATTTTGACATTTTTTTGTTGAAAAACCATTGGTTTTTTGATGTTTTTATGTTAAAATCGCTCCGAACACTAAGCTTTTGGAAGGATTTCGTCTTGCGCGCGCGAATGTCCACTTTACCTTATTTTTTGCAAGGGATTCTTGAAATTTGATTATATTAGAACAAGAAATGTCATTTTATAGTGTTTTTTGCAAGGGAAAACGGATTACAACAAAACAACCGGATCTGGACCCCATCCACTTTTCTGAAGCTTTCGCGAAAAAATGATGAAAATGTAGCTGCGGCCTAGGCGCGGCGGGGGGGCCGTGCACCAGGGGCCCCAACAATAATTATTCTTTAGAATTAATAATGTTCAACAACAACAAGAAGAAGAATAAGAAGAAGAACAACGACAACCACAACAATAACAAAAAACAACAACAGCAGCAGCAACATCAACAACAACCTTAACAACAACCTTAACAGCAACAACAACAACAACAACAACAACAACAACAACAACCACAACGACGACGACGACAACGAAGACAACGACAACAACGACATCGACGACGACAACAACGACGACGACGAGGACAAAGACGCCGACGACACACACAGACGCTTACACACACCACGCAAACCGCGCCGGGGCCTCGAGCAGGGCATCGTCGGCGAGGTCGTAGGATTTCTTCCAGGAGGCGGTGCCCGTGGGCACCTCCTGCGAGCGATGCTTGCTCTTATATCAAATATGTGGCTGTCATCGCACTTTGGGCCCTTGAGCTACGGAGCATCTGCAGTCTCCTGGGATGCAATACAAGCCAATCCACAAGAAACATTCCACAAGAAACCCAACCCTGAGACCCCACGACGTCCAGTGGTTCTTGGTGTGGAGGCGCCACGCTTTTCATAGCGAGACCATCGAAACCCAAGAAACCCAGGGCACCATGGAGGCCCAGCAGGGTGCCTCTTGGCATGGGCATCCACTGCAGGACGCCACCCGAGCCAACGACGACGAGACACGGACCTCCGCACGAGGACGCGGCGGCCCCGCGTGCGCGGTGGAAGGCCGCCAGGCGCGGCACGCCGCGGGGAGAGAGCGAGGGCGCTCGCGCGCGCCCTGCCACGGGCAGCGAGACGGGGTCGGAAGGTCGCACCACATCGCAGACGCAATGCGCCCGCTCCACGTGAGCGACCAGCATCGGCATCGGCACTGCCGCCACCGTCATCACCACCATCATCCGCAGCAGCAGCATCATCACCACCGCCATCATCGGCAGCAGCACAATTACCATCCGCCTCCCCCTCCCCCTCCTGCACACTCTCCGCTGGCTCCTTCTCCTCCTCCTCGTCATCCTCCTCCTTTTCCTCCTCCTCTTCCTCCTCCTCCTCCTCCGCCTTTTCCTCCTCCTCAACCTCCTCCTCCCCCTCCTACCCCTCCTGATATTCTTCTTATTCGTACGTATTAGCAGCAGGTGTTGTCTCATTATCCTTCGCCCCATCCTCTTCCTCCTCTCCCCTACCTATGTACCACATCATCCTTACTAGCCGGCCGCTCTGCGGTTGATCGGGAGTTTCTGTATATAGAAGAAGGTGCGTGCGCTTGTTGGCGAGGGTGATGAGGTTCCTCCTCCTCCTCCTCCTCCTCCTCCTCCTCCTCCTCCTCCTCCTCCTCCTCCTCCTCCATCCTTCTCTTGCCTCCGTCTGTCCTCCTCCACCCCGCAGCTCCATCATCTCCTCCTCCTCCTCCTCCTCCTCCTCCTCCTCCTCCTCCTCCTCCTCCTCCTCCTCATTCCTCCTCTGGGCACCTCCCCCGGGGCGCGGATCCACCGGGTCTGTCCGGATCTGTCCGGAAACGGTGCCGGATGCCGCTCTGGGCTCCTCTGGGCACCTCCCCCGGGGCCGGTTTTGTGAGGATGTCTCAAGCGAGGGCGCCGGTTTGGGATTCGTCACCGGAACCAGCGGATCCAGCGGATCCAGCGGATCTGTCCGGAAACGGTGCCGGAGGCCGCTCTGGGCTCCTCTGGGCATCCCCCCCGGGGCCCGTTTTGTGAGGATGTCTCAGGCGAGGGCGCCAGTTTGGGATTCGTCACCGGATCCAGCGGATCCAGCGGATCCGTCCGGAAACGGTGCCGGAGGCTGCTCTGGGCTCCTCTGGGCATCCCCCCCGGGGCCCGTTTTGTGAGGATGTCTCAGGCGAGGGCGCCGGTTTGGGATTCGTCACCGGATCCATCGGATCCAGCGGATCCGTCCGGAAACGGTGCCGGAGGCCGCTCTGGGCTCCTCTGGGCATCCCCCCCGGGGCCCGTTTTGTGAGGATGTCTCAGGCGAGGGCGCCGGTTTGGGATTCGTCACCGAATCCAGCGGATCCAGCGGATCCAGCGGATCCGTCCGGAAACGGTGCCGGAGGCCGCTCAGGGCTCCTCTGGGCATCCCCCCCGGGGCCCGTTTTGTGAGGATGTCTCAGGCGAGGGCGCCGGTTTGGGATTCGTCACCGGATCCAGCGGATCCAGCGGATCCGTCCGGAAACGGTGCCGGAGGCCGCTCTGGGCTCCTCTGGGCATCCCCCCCCGGGGCCCGTTTTGTGTGGATGTCTCAGGCGAGGGCGCCGGTTTGGGATTCGTCACCGGATCCAGCGGATCCAGCGGATCCAGCGGATCCGTCCGGAAACGGTGCCGGATGCCGCTCTGGGCTCCTCTGGGCATCCCCCCCGGGGCCCGTTTTGTGAGGATGTCTCAGGCGAGGGCGCCGGTTAGGGATTCGTCACCGGATCCAGCGGATCCAGCGGATCCAGCGGATCCAGCGGATCCGTCCGGAAACGGTGCCGGAGGCCGCTCTGGGCTCCTCTGGGCATCCCCCCCGGGGCCCGTTTTGTGAGGATGTCTCAGGCGAGTGCGCCGGTTTGGGATTCGTCACCGGATCCAGCGGATCCAGCGGATCCAGCGGATCCGTCCGGAAACGGTGCCGGAGGCCGCTCTGGGCTCCTCTGGGCATCCCCCCCGGGGCCCGTTTTGTGAGGATGTCTCAGGCGAGGTCGCCGGTTTGGGATTCGTCACCGGATCCAGCGGATCATCGATCCAGCGTATCCCTATACCAGAAACGGTGCCGGAAGGGCCGCCTTTGGGCTCGTGGCTCTATACGCGCCGGGGGTGATGAGACGTGAGTTCCCCAACAGAAACTCCCTCAAATTATGATGACTAGTTGTTGTTTATTATGTGTATCCTTATTGCTGTATAATTATTATTATTATTATTATTATTATTATTATTATTATTATTATTATTATTATTATTATTATTATTATTATTATTAGTATAATTATTATGCGGCTGATTCGTATCATTCGTCCCTGATGACGGCTTGGGAGTGTTCGCCCCCCCCCGCGTACTGTTTTTTTACACACAGGATTCCCAGGAGTTGGGTTTTCGCATGCATTTGTTTCCAATCTGCTGCTCTCGCTGAGGCGCCGGCCTCATTTTCGGACCCCGCTCGTTCCGAATCGTGCTCCCGCTGCAGCGCTGGCCTCATTTCCGTGCTTCCGCTCGTTCCGAATCGTGCTCCCGCTGCAGCGCTGACCTCATTTCCGCGCTTCCGTTGTTCCGAACCGTGCTCCCGCTGCAGCGCTGGCGTCATTTCCCGTGCCATGCCACGGCATGCAATGCAATGCTAGGTTGCGTTCCGCTGCGCGATGTCATGCCTTCAGCTGAAGCTGTGATATGCAGTGCTGAAGTGCCACGTCGTGCTATGCCATGCTACGCTTTGATCCTCAACGCCATGCTACGCAATGTTAATGTTCAGGGTCGCTGTGCGATGCCATGCTTTGCGTTGCAAAGCTTTGTGATGCAATTATTCCCTACGCCACGCCACGCCATGCTGTGACATACTACGCTTTGCGGTGTTTTTCTACGCCATGCCATGCCGTGCTCTACAATGCATCGCGTACCCTTTCGGGATCATTGCCCTGCTCGACATCCGACTGTGCGAGTAGAGAGGGGATCTACGCCATGGTAAGGGATGGAGAGGAGGGGTAGGATGTCAGATATGGCACGAGCGCACCTAGCTTGCCCTCCTACCCCTCCCCCCCCCTCCTCCCCCTCCTCCCCCAATCCTCCCCCTCCTCCCCCTCCTGCCCCTCCTCCCCCTCCTCCCCCTTCCTCCCCTCCTCACGCTCCTCCCCCTCCTCCCCCCCCTCCTCCCTCATACCCCACCTCAATCCCACTCCTCCCCCCCTCCTCCGCCTCCTCCGCCTCCGCCTCCGCCTCCTCCCTCCTCCACCACCTCCTCCTCCTCCTCCTCCTCCTCCTCTTCCATCCTCACTCCACCGCCTCCTCCGCCCCTTCCCCCCTCCTCCTCCTCCTCCTCCTCCTCTCCTCACTCCTCCCCTCCTTCCTCCTCTCCTCCTCCACCTCCTCCTCCTCCTCCCTCCTCCACCTCCTCCTCCTCCTCCTCCCTCCTCCTCCTCCTCCTCCTCCTCCTCCTCCCCCTCCCCCTCCCCCTCCTCCCCCATCTTCCGCCCCCACGGCCACACCCCAGCGCCCGGGTGCCTCCTGGGGCAGCAGCGCGGCAGGGCCTGGGCGGGAGCCGGCAGGGGGGGGACTAGAGGAGAGGGGCAATGGGGGGGGCGCAAGTAATAATACTTGTGGTATGGATAGTATGTTCAGTCTCCGTTCTCTTATTAGTAATCCTCTTAGCATGTGTAGTGTTGCGATTATCTCCATTTAATATTCGTCTAAATACGCCCACTCCGTGGTATGCCTGATATCGTTGTACTTACTACTAGTAATGCTAGCTAGCGGAAGTACTATCAATGTTGTTAGTGTGTCAACAGTTTGGCTTCTTCGTAGTCTGACTAGTTGTCTTCTTGTCATGTCTATTATAATGTACCATTATTTTGATCATGAATATGTTGCGTAGTCTGATGTGTTAGCATCATTGGCAACTGTTTCCTACTAGTTGTTAGTAGGAATCATGTTTATGTTATTATTATGTTTATTATTATTCCTCCTCCTCCTCCTCCTCCTCCTCCTCCTCCTCCTCCTGCTCCTCATATTCCTACTCCTCCTTCTCCTCTTCCTCGTCCTCGTCCTCGTTTTCCTTCCTCTTCCTCCTTGTCCTCATCCTGCTCCTCATTTTCCACCTCCTCCTCCTCATCATCCTCCTCCTCCTACTCCTTTTTGTTCCTCTTCCTCCTCTTCCTCCTCCTCATCGTTGACAGGAGGAGGAGAAGGAGGAAGAGGAAGAGGAGGAGAAGGAGGCAAGCGAGGAGCGGGAGGGGAACGGGAGAAATGATCGGGGGGGAGGGGAGAGAACAGAGAGGCGTCGGGCAAGCTAGAGGTGCGCTCGCGCCACCTCTGGCATCCGGCCCCTCCCACCCGTTCCTGGGCCGAGAGGAAAGGAGCGAATGTGCGAGGGCGTAGGCAGGAGGAGGGGGAACACTGGGTCCAGTCAACCAGTATAGTAAGGATGCGCGGTAAGGGTGCAAGGGCATTGGACGCCCATTTCGAAGCTGTTCGAGCGGGGCGCGGCCAGCGAAAGCGGCGAAGGATGGACCGAGGAGGCAGGGATGCAAGAATACCCTTGGGAAGCGTTGCTTCTTAGGAGGATCTGCTTTCGGGAAGCGGGGTTTTCGCGGACACCTTAATGCTCTATCTCCTCCTTCTACTACGCGCGCAGGCCTGGGGGGCGGCGCCACGAGTTGCTCCAGGAATTGGCCTCGCTCGT